TGCTTAGGCTCATTTTAAACCCACGTGGTCAGCTTAAATGCATTCCCCTAACATTTTTGGTGGTTCTTAGACTAAAAAGCAGTGAAGCAGAAACACAAGGCTCCAAGGTGTGATATTTCTATATGCTGCTTAGCTAGTAATTTCTTATCTCAGTGTTGTTGAGTCACCAAAAATTGGCAGGTACACTGTCACCCTTTTCAAAGAAAAAAAAAAATCTGCCAGGATTGCCTGGTTTGCGTTACTGATGTAACACTGGTGTAGTTGTCAGCGGGTAGGAACCTCCAGCAGAAGTCAGAGTGCTGGGATGTGATGCTTATATCCAGCAAGCACATTTTCAGAGTCTCTTTCGAATCCAACTCTTTCATTAGATACAGGCTCTAACAATAAAAAGGATCATTTCATAGACTCCTTTGCATCAAGGAAAGATATATTTTGCCATGGTAGTAGTAAATTTGTTTTTTTTAAGACAGCGATTATTCTGCAACCTTCTGAGAGTTTCCTCCCCCCAGACCATTTACAAGCCCTGAGTTTGGATGTGCTGCGCAATAGCAGAGCTCTGCACACAGTGTTGCTCTTACTATTGCACTGTGCTACGTCATCGCTGAAAAGTTTTATCATCAGAGTGAAATCCTGAGGCATCTTAAAAGTATTGTAGGACTTTTTCATGGACAACAACACAAGTGCCGCCACTTAAAACATATATTATGACAATATTATGACATGTTCCATTAAAGCTGGCAGCAATACTTCCAATTTGGTCTTTACTTAGAAGGGTAGAGGTCTTTTCTGAAGCTTTGGGGTCTATAAGTATTTTGGTGTGTCTGTTGGAATATGACTCTGCTGGCAGACAGAAATATATGTTAATAAACTTTACCTACACAGGAAAGCTAGTTAACTGTAAACTCTGTTTACTGTATGTAACTGTTCAGTAGTAATGCACCATGGTATCAGTCTTAATATACATTACACGTAAGATAGTTGAAAGTGGAGCAAACACCACTAAACCTACTTTAGACAAAGCTTCTCAAAAGTAATTAATTATCTTTCAAAGGTAGGTTGAGCTCACACTTACATGTGCAAGCAGTACTAAGAAATTGAAATGACCATTTAAAGCACTGTAATTTCTGTATCTATGTCTTACAGTTTGTGAAAAAGTTCTGTAAGATGCCTTTAAAGTTCACAGAAGTCCCTTTAATCATAAGCACATGGTTGTTGAATGTCTTGTTTTGTACTGTAACTGCTGTTTTCTTATTTAACTGTGTTTACAGTTCTTTCAGTTGAAATGTTACCTGTATTTTTCTCGTGTCAGAATTCATGCTGGAATTTTTACCATCTCAATATATTTTAATCCAAAATATTTTAGGGAGGATTATGTAGCAAATGTGGTGCTTTGGAACATTACTGGGTTTTATGTTGGAAAAGTAGTAAAAGTATGTTTATATCCTTCTTTCACTGCACCCACATAAATCACTTAAATGCAAAAAAGCTGTATCTGTTACTGCGATTGAGAGATACTAGTTTCTAATGTATAGAGATTTGATGGTTAATACTGATCGTGCTATAGTGGACTGTAGGTTTCTGTTACAGAGATAAATTTACTGGAAGAGAAAAAAAACAATACAGAGCGCTTTTTTTGTCATATTTCAAATATTAAGTCTTGTAATGCTCATTTTCAAGTGAAGTTTCGAAACCTATTACATTCATAAAAGTGAAGAGCTTAACAGCTTTTTTAATGGGGACTACGTGTGTGCTCTTGCTGGTAGAAGTATAAAAATAGCTTTGATGTCTCCTGGTGGCATGAGTGCATTGCGAATGCATATAAAAGAAATTGTTTGAGACTTGAAGTTTATCTGACTCGTGTCTTCAAATTCTGCTTGGCAGAAGTTTGCATGCAGTTTTCTTGGGAGAGTTACAGGAAGTGTATTCCTCTAGCCAAATGCTGCATTTTGATAGTTTTATTACAGTTTATTAAGCTCTTCCTAGGCAAGATTCGTAGTTTGTGTTCTGTAGGAAAACACTGAGCATTTTTACGAACAAACCCTAAACGAGTTTTTAATACAAGTCTCTGCGTTTTGCCCATCGCTGAAGTAGTATTCCTAGTGATACTCAATTCCTAAAGTAAAGGGAGGATAATAAATGTATTTCCCTCTCTTTATTCTACTTTAGAAACCATGGCCTTGTTATAGCAAAAGGCATTTTAGAAGCTTGGTTGTGAGTGCCGCAGAAGTGTCTGCCGGGGCTTACCTGAGCGGGCCCGGCATGGGGGCTCCTCCTGTACTGGGAGCAGGGGTGCAGGGGCGACCAAGGCGCCGCAGCGGTGGCCCAGGCTGCGTGCGGGCAGCCGGCTTTTTGGCGAGTCACAGGCATGGCTGGGCGCTGCCGAGTGCTGGCTCCTGAAATCCTGGCTGCACTCTGTCAAAAGAGAGGCAGAGCAAATCTGCCCGCTAAAGGCTGTTCCCAGACTCCAACTCAGAACTTGTGAATTTAGTGCAAAAGGGCCGAGTTTTAAGCATGACCAGAACCTACAGATCTCTGCTGTGACCTGCATGTCAGGTTTATTTTTTGCTTGGCCAGGTACTGCCACTATGCTTCCTATACCTTACTCACTGGGACGATGCCAAGTTCTGCTTTAAACTGTACATAAAAGTTTCCAGCAGCATTCAGGGACCCCAATTATGAAATGCTGACCCTTTAAAAAGTACTTCCTAATGTGATGATCAGGACACCTTTTCTACAGTGTTTCACCTGGGTTTGTGTAGTCATTATTTTTTCCTGGGCTCAGATAATAATTTTTCAAGGGAGGGTAAGCTAATACTCTGCCCCATGTAGTCTGCATACAGCTCAAAATGTGTTACGTGTGCCTTTTATTTTCTTTCTTACTGAGTAGAGATTGAGAGCTTCCTCTGTCTGCACCTTAATTCAGCAAGGCAGAGGACTTAGAAGCTGGACAACAAAGAAAAATGAGTAATGGGAAAAGTGGAAGCAAGACTTTTTTTTAGCAACTTGGAGGTCAAGAAATGCTTCAGTCTGGGCTAGAACTACTTTTACAGAATTTAGAGACAAGATCTCTTCTAGTCAACCTACACTTGCTGGAAAGTATCCACGTATGTCTTGTAATAGTGATGAGAGATTCTGTTAGATCTTGTGAGACTGGCAACAAAATAAGTATTATGGTATTTTTAGGGTAAGCCTAAAGTGTAAAGGCAGGCAGACCATTTTCCCTATGTGAAAATTCTGTTGTGTCCATCATTATTACTCTTACTGGCCTGTGCTAGGGCTGAGGGTCCTGTCTACATTATTTTATTCATACTAGTAGACATAGCTCTATGTAATATGACCACTGTGTAATATGAATTATTTTTTTCCTGCCATCTTTGTCTTAGAGTTTACGTGCATA